TGCCCATCACCTGAAAACTGGAGAAAGAAGATGTGGGGGGGGGGGTTTGGTACCAGGGATTTTTTATAAAATGGAGTACTATTCAGCCATAAAGAACAAGAAACTATAGACATTTATAGCAAAATGGATGCATATTGAGGCCGTACTCATAAGTGAAATAAATAGGAACATGTGTAAATGCTTAATAATTTCTCTAGTGTGAGAAACTGAAAGTGTAAATAAGAATTAAAATCATTAAAATGAATAATTGATAATTTAAAATGGGAAGAAAAGGTCCGAAGGTGTAGAGACGGTGGGAGGGGAAGGGGAAAGGAAAGGAGGGAAAGGAAAAATTATGAGAAAAGAAAAAAAATGGAAAAGAAATTTATGCAAATAGGGAAGGGTGGAATAAATAAATAAATAAATAAATAGGGAAGGGTGTAGGGGGTGAAGGGTGCGCAGGTAATGGGGGAAAAAAATAAGAACCAAGATACACCATGTACAGGTGCAAGCACCCAATGATAAATGTAAATGTATTGTTTTCCTAAAATGTACCAATAAAATATTTTAAGGGAAAAAAAAGCAAAAAAAAAAAAAAGACATACAGAATCAAAGCTAGTCCCTATCCCTAAACAGCTTGCAATAAAATTATAGGAAAATGATTGATATATGATGTAATATTCCTTTTAAATTATTTTTATGAAATTCCAGGCTTCATTTAATTAATATATGGATAAATAATCCACACTTCAATTAAATATTTTTCCTTTGTGAATATATATTCCTTTAAATAACTTTGCATGTTCTACTTAACATTAATAAAGGTGTGACGAATAAACATTCATTTATTTTAACAACAGTTTATTGAGCTCTGACAAATCTAAATTTGTTGAGGAGGCATTGCAAATGTAAGACAAGATGAGATGTCTGCTTTCATGGCATTCAGTAGGAGGCATAGGTGAAATTAGGCATGCAGTAGTAGATATATGCAAGAGCCGGCTCACATGACAAGAATGATAATGTGATATCAAGGGAGAGAAAGAACATAGATTAAGAAACATAAGGGGCCGGGGATTTAGCTCAGTGGTTCCGTTGCCTGTCTCACAAGCACAAGATCCCGAGTTCGATCCCCAGTACCAAAAAAAAGAAACATAAAAAAGAACTGTGATTGTGAATGATGTGACACATTCCATCATATCAACAACCTGATTAATTTCCCATTTTTTCTTTTCTGAGACAGAGCTTTGCTACGTAGTTAAGGCTGGCCTTGAATTCAGTGTGTACTCCAGGTTGGCTGTGAAATCACAAAGATCCTCCTGCCTCAGCATCTTAAGTGCTGGGCTTACAGGCATGGGCTATGGTGTCCTGCCCTTAATTCCCCACTTTTAAAATAAATTTAAATCAGTAGGTATTTTACAAGTCTCATCTCTCTGGCTTTAACTCCTATTTCTGTTCCATTTATACTCTTCTTTTTAGTGGTATAAAACATACAGTTCTGTAGTTTATTCTTCTGTGAATTACACATGTGCTAGCCTCTGTATGCAATGTCCTATGTGTTTTACATGTAAATACACCATGCATCTTAAAACCCTGCCCTGAAATTTGCCCTGAGTGTCTTTCTCTGATCTCCTGTGTTTAAATCAGAAATTTCTGCTCTTGTGAATTGTTTTATGTAATTCAAAAATAGAATGGAATTTTCTAGCATAATATTGATAGGAAACAAAGGAAAAACCACAATACATTATCTGTATTAAGTCTACTAAGAAAATAATATAAACACCTGCAATCTCTGTTGTAGAAACAAAGTAGAACTGTAGAAATACAAACAGACATGCTTTACAACATGTTGATATACTTAACAGAACATTGCAATACAGCTTTTATAATTCTGTAAATCCAAGCAATATCCTTCATTAATAATTATTATTGTGATGTCAGAAAATTTTTACTTCTTGTGCTTTTTAGTGATACCATTTTCAAAGTTAAAGCAGTTTAGTCTGTCTGCTTAAATATTTATTCATGTTTCATTTTGTTCTCATAAAAGTACTATAGGTGAAATTTCCTTCATGGTATAAATAAATATACAAACATAAATAAATAAAAATTATGACTTCATGAGACCAAGATTTGAGATAATTTATGATTTTGTGTAAGTTTGCATCCTTTGTTACAAACCGAGGATGGTTTATATTCACACACATATGTAAAAATTCTTTAACGTTTCCCAAATTTGTTCTCATGAGATAGAAGGAAAAAGATTAAGCACAGTAGACTAAATCAAAAGCATTATTTTTAAGGTTAGCTGCTATTGCTCATTAACTTAATAACTTTAACTCACTTTTTCTTTCTGATTTTTTAGATCACTTTTTAAAAACTAGTTTTTTAGCTAAATTTTAAGAGTTTTGAAATCATAAGATTATCTGAAAGATACATTTTATTTTTTATTCTATTTTAACATTTAACAAATAAAAAAGAAAACTGAGTTTCATTTATAAAATTGGATATTTATTTACATCATGCTGACTATTTTGCAAAATAAAATTTAGTTTCATAGATGCTCAAGTTTATGCATTTAGGGCTGGGTATAAAATGTAAATATGAAATGTTCACATAAAATATTGTTTACTTCGTGACTGCACTTAAATGATGCTGTTGAATTACTACTATTTGTTACAACATTAATGTTATCATTTTATTATTAATATATTTTTTAATATATTGGTATTTAATTTTAGAAAAGCTAACTGTCCCATTATGCTGACATCAGGGATAAAAAGGATATATCATTTTTGAAAGGCAATAATCCTCAAGAAGCCTGGTGCTTATTTAAACACATTGTAAGGAAGTGCCAGGATGCTGAATTTGTAAAACTTTGAAATATGATCTCACTAGAAGAACTCTAAGATCCACATCCAAGAGAGACATAACTTAGTTAGCAATCAAAGCATTTGAATTATTGTGGGAAGGAGCAGACAAAGCAAAACCATAAGGGTAGATGAAGGAGATAGTCACATTGGACCACTGGACCAAAGCTGTTTTGTCTTCTGCCCTAAATAATACAACAGCAGACAGGAAATGGCTAACCCTGGAATACTTGAGATCAAATCCTGGAGTCAACAGTTTTTACATTCAGTTACTACCGATAGTGTTGTAAGATTGATTGCATGTAGAGAATCATAAGACCAATCATATAGAATTTATGCATACTGAAGGTGTTATTAGGAAAAGGAAACGGGTTTATAAAATAACTGAATACAAAAAGAAGTTGGTATATTCGGTAGTAACATCAGGAAGAATATGCATCTTGGGGCTGCTGTTCGACTTAGACCATCACCTGGGAGGATATTATGTCTTCCTCAGAAAGATAATTACTTTGTTTTGACACATAAGAAGTGGGACTTTGCAGCGTACTTAAGAATTTTTGAAACTTTCTCTTACTTTGCTTTTAAATTAATACCTGTATTAAAGTTTATGAAAAAAAATTATCATTCATTTTATACCATTGTAAATGTTCTACTCTTAAGTACTAAATTTAATGATTATTTATTTTAATTGTTTGATATATATTTATGTATATGAAGTAAGTAAAATTTGATTATTATTGAGTTTATTTTTATTTTTATTTTTTTATTTTTTATTTTTTTTGGTACCGGGGATTGAACTCGGGTCCTTGCGCTTGCGCAGCAGGCGAAGGAACCAAAATTTTAATAGCAAAGTGTGAAATTAGAGATAAAAATGGGTACAGATATTTTAACTGTTTATAAAAGTCTAAAAGATTTTAATTTAAAATAACTTATTTTGGATCAATACCGCAATTAATGCAAACTTGAAATTCTTTAAAGTCACTGCAGCTTTTATTTATATTCATGTATATTACAAAACAACAAACTATAAAACCAAGTTTTAGTATTTATGATCTGTATTTCACTTTTTCAAAAAGTAAAATTATTTAGTTAGTCCTAGAAAAATATTTTGACCATATTTTTTAATTGGAAAACTTAATAAAAGAGTTTTAGACTACTTTAAGAAGATGCTGACCCTAAATAGAAATTATAACAAATATTAAGTTTAAAAATTATAAACTAAAATGATCTTGTTAAGATGTTAAAGCATACATCTGAGACAAGAGTGGTATGTTTATATAAAATGTGTATGTATTTCAAGATAAAGGACTATCTTTGCAAATTCACAAATCTCCTTTATGTATGTTAACCAGCCTTTGTTTTTTAGAAAATTTTACTTCGTGAATAGCTTGAATATCTTGCTTCTTTGTCTTTCACTGTGCAAAATAATTTCCAGAGTCCAGAGAAATCAAAAAAATTTATTATGTGAATGTTATTGTTTTTTGAGTCACTATAATAAAGTATTTTCTTACCTTTCAAGAGAATTCCCTGTCAAGGAAGGCTTTAATTAAATCTAATTTTTATCTTTTCATATTGTTCTCTTTAAAGAAGATTTAAAAACACTGAACTATGTTTGTAACTATTTTATGCAAGGATTACCTTATGATCTTGACTCTTGATATACACTACACTTATATTAAGCCACTGATGTCAGCAACAAAACTAATAAAATACAGTCCAAAATTTGTTTTTTGTGTTATTTTAATAAATATTCCCTCTGCTAGTTTAATAGGAAGAGACCCTGAAAGACAGCTCTTGTTACCAGATGTTTATACAATGCTTTTTGCTATTAAAAGATCATTAAAAAATAAAGTCAGAAGTCAAGGAAAGGTCATTTATTAGCTTCATTGTACAACTATTCCTTTTTAATTTGCACTATTAATATAGGTAGAGAAATATATAATGGTGGCAATTCCTTTTCTTTTACTAAGGTAATTTAATAAGATCCTTATATTTTAGTGGTGGCTTTTATTTTTCCATTCTTTGATGAATTTACTGTTCTTTATAAAATTTTATAATTTCTTGTCCTATGAACCCTACAGATGAATAAAGAATGCAGTCCAACTTTAAATGTGATGTAGATTTTTAAACATCTTTTTCATTTCTCTTTCTCTGCAGGCACTCCATCTGCACAGTGTACATAGAAGTGCTTCCTCCAAATAATCAGAGCCCTCCCCGCTTCCCGCAGCTGATGTATAGCCTTGAAATTAGTGAAGCCATGAGGATTGGTGCTGTTTTATTAAATCTACAGGTATTCACCGTGGTGTGTGTGTGTGTGTGTGTGCGCGCGCGCAGTGACAGAGAGAGAACTAATGAGTTTCTTTTTGTTCATGAGGAGGAAACCTTGCATGCTTGCCTATGTTCTAGTGAATGAAAACTCCATCTGGAAAGGAAAGCAAGGGTAATATGGATGGAGGGTTTCCACAGCTAATCTATTCTATTGATTGCTACAGTTGAAGAAGTAATGTTTGGCTGGCAGGGATTAGCTGCAATCATTACAGGAGAGAATGAAGGGATTGTAAACATGCACTTGAATATTTTGTATTTTGCAACCAAAGAGTCTGCAGCTGACTATTATTTTCTGTCTTGGATGCCTTTGCCCAGCTGGATTTATTTTGTTGAAGTGCTGCACAGGGGAAATAACCTGAGACTCAAAGGCTGGTGGTAGGCATTCTCATTCTGAGACAGGCTTTACTTTATTCTATGGCCATTGGCAAGTTTCATAAGTGCTGTGCCTCAGTTTATTCATTTAGATGAAGCAGGTAGGTTTAACTGAAATTTTCATTTGCAGCCCAGCATTCATGAATTGTTTTGCGAAATTATAGCTTTGCTTTTACTATTTATATACTTCTGAACAAAACGTATTTGAAGAGTTATGGCTTTTTCTTTGACTGAATAAGCAGCTTTAATTTGTGCTACATGAGGTGTTAATAACTGTCACTTGCTCTAATAATCATACCAGCCAAAATATGACAAATTGTTTTATCTGTTGATGTTGAGAGCACCCAGTTTATATTGCAAAGAAGGGGCAGAGGTTGCTGATACAAATCCAGTAATCTAGTCTTGGAGGTTATGACCAGTTTCATTGTGGCAGTAGTATACTCTCAGCATTACTTTTTTTCACCAAATGAGGTAAAACAATGTTCAGCTTTATCTTGCTGAAATCTGATGTCTTCGTGATGTTCAAATTCTAATTATGCATCAATAAAAATTTTTCTATAGAATGTGTGTAAAAATAATGAAAGGAGGCAGTCTCATTTTGTAGATGTGTAGATGTGGAAAGTAAACCTCATAAAAATTAACTGATGCTTAAGATTAGTTAACTGAATTTTGTTTCATTTTTGAACATTCCCCTTTCTCTTAAGTATCAGTGATTATTATTGCTGCCAAAATTTGGTTACCATTACTAGGTACTTCTCTGTAGCTCTACTGTAATATTTATCTTGTCCCTTTTCTGTAGGTAACTAGAGAATTTGCTTTAGTGTTTATTATGAGAACATGTGGAAGCAAAATTAAATAAAGGGGAATATTAGTGATAAGGAAATTTGGGCGATTTTAATAGACCATTTAAAAGAAAGGAAAAATATAGCATTTCTTTACCAGAGAGGAAGCAGTTTGTCAAATTATTATAAAACTGATATTGAGTGGCATATGCATCTATAAGAAACATGTGTTTAATGAAATAATTTTAATTTATGAAAATGCATTGAAACAAAAATGGAAAACAAAGTAAATCTTAGGTTTGTAAAATTCAAGTAAACAAATACATGTTCTACATTTAAATTCTTCACAACACTGTTCCATTTTATAATTTAACTGTCTATACAGTTGAATATACAATGAGATAAAATATAATTTTGCTCATAAAGTGGTTCAGGTTTTACTTCACTAAATCAAGAAATATCTAGGAACCATATTATAGGAAAATAATTCTGCCTGTGTAGTAAAGATGAAAAGGAGTTGGTCTTTTCATATCTCAGCTTTCTTGGGCACAAAGACTGAAAAAAAATATGTGCAATGACATTTCTTTTCACCCTTTGTGCTCCTGGTAGAAGCAAAAGAAAGGGTGCCAATTGCAGTGGCAGACTCTGTTAGAGAGAACTAGGGTGACACCATCAAAGTATTCTTTCTAGGCCATCAACCACCTACTTTTGTTCATGATCAACTGGGACTGAATTTAAGCCATTGACCTAAAACTTGAAAAGCTTTCATCAAATTACTCTTCCAAGAACTTTTAATAGAAGGATACATTAGAGGTACTCCAGATGCCTATAGCCTCTCTATCCTTGTCCCTTTTGCACCTGTGACACTACTGCTGGCTCACTGCTGACTCACTGACACGGACTGACTCACTGACTGCTGCTCAATTTAAAAGGAAACAAATGTAAGATACCAGACTGGCCTCAAAATTGTTTTCAGTGAGATAAAAATTGTTTAATTTGTCAAGAATGGTTTCATTTAACCTACCCCTTTTTCAGTATGTTCTTGTCATTCTAACTAAAAGTTGTTTGGGAAAGTGTGCTTTTTCTTATTGTATTCACACTATTTTGATGGCTGCTAGAGTGATGACCTTGAATAGAGAAAAATAGTACAGAGACCTCTGCTCTATCAAACCTTGCATGCTAATCATGGCTACTGGTAGGTATGACTTATTTTCCTCCAGAATTGGTCAGATCTTGCTCAAAAATATAACAATATACTTCTGACCTGCCAGAGAAAACTTCTACATCTATGTGTTACAAATCAAATAACCTTGGAAGCCAGTTGTGTGTATCTCTTCCCAACTCGGGGCTTGATATTAGCATAGTGGACATATTTATACCACCAACATTAGCCCATACAATAAATGAGTGTCCACCCCACACTCCTGAGCTTTAACCAGAACATCCCAGATATGGATCTAATTCTTCAAGTATTTAAATCAAACGTTGATACCAACAGATTCCTCCTTGTTTGCATCTCTGAGTTTTTAAAATCTATTTCCATCACAGTAAATATTAGAATACTACCAAAGAGGAAGTTGTGTTATATTCAAATGCATAGCTTTCTCTTTTTCTCACAGAGCATTATTCCCTTCCAAATTAACTATATGTAGTTTACATATTCTGTGACTAACTCCAACACCATTACAATAACCCTCCTTTCTTATACATGTCATTGTACTACATCATCATCATCATTCTCAAAAAAGGAATAGCTGACACTTAACATGTGCCTAATACTGAGTGAAGCACTGATTAAGTTTCTTAATTTGTAACATTTACTTATTGTTTCATTAACCTAGGTTATATTTTAGACATATTCACAAACACAAAATTCTAGTGATTTATGACTGAAAGAAATATTTGTTACACTGTATATTCATCATGAATCAGCTCCAGTTCTGTTTGTTAAATTTTTCTCTTCAAAATGATAAAGATTTTTCACATTAATGTGATGTATCATTTTGTTTGATCATCACCATATCCCTAAATAAACAAATAAACTCCACCTTATTATATCTGAAAAATGAAGAAACTGAGCTGGAAACAGTTTATGAGCCAGTGTAGCTTATTTCCTCTTTGATTTCTAAACTAGGACTCTTTTCACTACATCACATTATTTTCCTTTAGCATATAGGAATCTATACCTGTTCGGGGAAGTAAGTATATTTTATGTTACTTTATTTCTGTATTTCAGTGATTAATTTTATAATATAAATAATATAAAAACATGAAAGTTTAAAAAGATATCTTTCATTTTTATAGCCTCAGGAAAAAGAATTTAAAAGAAATATGAATTTACATTTACTTGCTCACTTAGCGATTATAAAATAGAATATAGATTATAACCTGGATCAAGTACAATCAAGCAAAATATTATTAAATTCTTACCCCAGACATTTCTGATTGTTAGCATAGTACTCCCAAAGAATCCAGATAAGAGACGTCTCAAATGTTCTTGAAGAACTTTATCCTTGAGATAAATGAGGAAATTTTTATTGGCCCAATGTTTTCTTAAAGAGAAACTATATGAGTGGTTAAAGGAGCTGAGACTGTGGCAAAAAAAATCCAAGAGAAATTTGCACAAAGGGGCAATTGGCACCCAGTTCTCAGATTGAATTACTGATTAGACTTGAATCAGTTCAACTGCAACAGGTCAAATAACACTGGAGGGAAGTGTCATAGTGGAATGGACAGTCAATAAAAGAGCATGAATTGTTTCCTTGGAGATCTTGTCTACCATCATAGGCAAAATAGATCCCATCTGGATCCAAAAATCTCAGAGATACAGCTTCTAAGTAAAAAATTTGAAAGAAGGGAAGTATGTACATCAAGTCATAAGACAAGAAGCCAACTGGGCATTTGCTAAAACATACATCACATTTTTTGTAAGGTAATAACAATTCCTAAGATGGTAGCTTTGGATTGAGCCCCTTAATAGTGAAGCTTGTTGCGGTCCATCTGCTTTCACACTAATTCTAGAGTCAGAAATGTGAACAAGAAGATCATGTACATAATTTCAAATCCCTAAGAACAAAATGAGTTTTAAAATACACTGGAAATAATACAAAATAAAAATAAATTAAAAAGTAAGAAATCATATGAATAAGTTAGTTTTACTAAATAATGGTTATAGTATTAAACTAAGAAAACAGTGATGAAGTCAGCTGCAAGCTAAAAATAGAGATCCACACAGTAGCCTGAGAAAAGCCTGAAAAAAATGAAACCATTTCAGTTTTATTCTCTGAGAGTTGAAATTTCTTGTTCAAATTGTACACTGAATAATATAGGCCCAAATGTTTGTATTTACAAAGTAAAAAGAAGGAACAGATTTAGGACATTTTATGAAGGTATATATGGGTAGTATTTGTAGATTAAAATAATTATAACCCTATGTCACTCCACTACTATATTCCCAATTGTGATAATTTCCTGTATTATACAGTTTGAACATTAGAATATATACAAGTGGTGATCAAAATATACAGTGAATGCACTTGCCACTTTCTAAAGCAGTCCTGGAACTCCTGTATCCTGAGAATCTTTATGACGTGTGAAAAAATACACAGTGAATATCTCTGCCAAGTCTCATCCAGCAGAGTGGCAGGCTGGAAAAAGTATTATGGTTAGCCCAAGGTCACCAGATGCACTGAAAACATCGAATCAGCCCACTGCAGACAGGCAGGTCTGCGGATGTGGTCCCAAGGTCCCCAGTCACACTGAAAACACAGAATCACCCCTTGCCCTGGTAGCAATCCACTGGAAACCA